AACTAACAGATGTCAAGACCTAGAATACACTACTATTCCTTCTCTATCCAACCAAACTCTGAGTGTGATTCTAACACACATCTGCTTGTTCAGAGTTTGGATTCTAACAAAGATCTGCTGGTTCAATCGCCACATGTCTCCAACTGACTTGGAAGACAAAGCCCTCTTCTATACGTGGAGACTGATTAAGTCACGATAAGGCTTAGCTCTCTTAAATCCAACGAATCTACTGCAGATTCAGATAATTTTATTTAATGGCTTCTGTATGAACTAGAATTTGAAAAATATTCTGGAAACTTGATTCTGAGACACAAGTAGAGATATTCATTACTAAACAGATCATTTCAGGGGCCAATGGGAAGCAGGCACCAACTTTGGTGATTTGGGACTTTTCACAACCTAAGGTGCTACAAAGTATAAAGGGGCCTTTGGGTAAAGATGTAGTAGCAAAGGAAAAAAGAAACACTGATCTTTTTCTGGAACATTATCTGAACCTCTCCAGTAGTTTACAATGATCCCAACTCATATTTGCTGGCAGAAGACTAACAAAGGTCTCAAAAGATAAGCCACCATGAAGGTCCAGGCTAATATGTAGGCTCCACATTGGATTCTAACTGGGAAGAATCATTTTATTTACTATGCATGTGGCTAAGCTAGAAGGACCAGCTGCCAAAGTACAGTGCTGCTAGTTCAGAAACAATAACTGAGCATAAAAACATACCTACATGTAAACTAAAAAAAGCCGCAACTTTTAAGTCTAAGTGTATAATACCATTAAGACTCAGGGATCTGGATCAGTAAGGGCAACCTGGTAGTAAAGGTTAATCATCACTGCACTGCAAGACCAAATTTAATAGCAAAACAAACAACAAAATCACACCGACTTGTGAAAGAGGACTGACTTCCTTAGACCTAAGGAATTTCTTAGGATCTTGGAAAATTCAAGGAGAAGGGTGTAGGAGATAGTTCCCACAGGAAAGTAACAAGATTTTCTGCTAAATTAGCCCTTTCAAGATCCAAGTTGCTAATCAGAAATCCCTACTTCTGTACTTTATAAACTAATATAAAACTACTTTAGCTAATGTAAAATCAAATGACCAGCAAAATTAGATTATAAAGAGCAAATATCAGGCTGAGTGCCCTAACCCCAGCCAACGCAGATGCCCACCTGGCCCTGCACTAAGCTGGAAGAGGATCCAGCAACTGAGTGCTCCACCTTCACCCAACACCTGCCTCGGCTGCATACTGAGTTGGGAGGACCTAGAACTGAGCACCCCATACCCAGCCCATGTGTTGCTCACAGCATAAGGAAAACAGGTGATAACCAACAGGCCAACCTGATCGAAGAAGAGATCAATACCCAGGAGAACAGTTCCACTTCAGCACTGAAGTGATAGCCTACCACAGAGACCAGGTTAGAGACCCTTGGGAGATAGGCTGGAGAGGGTGACAGTTAAACAGGAATCTCCTGGGATCCCCTGGGAGGTCCAGGTTTAGACCCGGAAGATCATAGGGCCTGTATTCTGTTGTGGGAGGCCAGTTTTGGTAGCAGTAATAGTCAGAGGGGGTAGTTCTGAAGAAGGCATTTAATATAGTGCTATGTTTGTGCTGTGACACCTACATCCAGCAGAACTTAGTGGTGTGAGCTACTATAGGTCAACATAAGGGTAGTCTAATTGTCTTCACTTCAATGATGGTCCTCTTTGTTTTGGTTAAGGGCCATTCATAAGTGGTGCCTAGGATTTGTCAGTATCCGGTTGAAATTTGATGCCATTGTTTCTGCTGAATTTACTACAATAGCCAAGGCAACATAGTAGTGTCTGGGATTCAGTTTTCTCTCCATGCCAGTATTTGGATGGCCTGAGGGGGCAGGTAATAAACCATACTGTGGCTTACTCTCAAAAAACGGCACTAGGCAAAAGAATTTGCAAACCCCATCACAAAAACAAACAAAAACCCCAGAAACATGAAAAGACAACAAAATGCCTCCAAAACCTTCCAACTCCTTCAAAACCAGTTCAGAAGGCCCTCAGGAAGGAAATCATAAACTATATGGCAGACAGGTCTGAAAGGGTACCAATGGAGGTAAAACAGTTCAACAAGGTAATTGGCAAATTTAAAGAAGATATAACTAATCAAATAATGACCCTAATGAAACAAATGGTCAGTGAGTATAGAAAAGACACTAATAAACAGCTTTTGGAGCTAAAGAAAGAAATGCAAAATATGAATGCATAAGATAGAAAAGAATGGGAATCCATAAGAAAGGTCCAAACAGAAATCCAGGAGATCAAAAACATGATTGAAAGTATGGTTAGCAGAAGAAACCAATGTGAAAACTGTCAGACCTAGAGGAACAACAAAGGAACATGAAAAGTTGATCCAACAGCTCCTAGGTGACTCAAAGAGGAGTAATATAAGAGCAATTAGAATTAGTGGAAAATCAGAAGACACATAAACAGCATAAATTACCTGTTTATGCAAGTAATAGCAGAAATCATAAGCTAAATGAAGCATACAGAACCCTGAATAGGCATGATCAGAAAAAAACACTACTCCATGCCACATAAATAAAAGACCTAGAAATATAACACAAGAAGAGAATCTTAAGGTTGCTAGAGAAAAAGCAATGAATCACCTGTAAAGGAAAACCCATCA